GTTAAGATGCAAAAGAGGTAATCTTACATCTTGGTAGAATTTTAACAATATTCTGTTTCTTTGTAATACTTGAGAGCAAAATACATTGTGCTTGATTGCAATTTGTCTCTTCTTACTAAAGACACTGAATTGCCTCATGTTCCATCTACTAACTGATATGATCATAACATACTCCTTTAATGCGCCACCAAAATCTAAGTAAAAAAAATGGTTGCTACCTCATCAATTCACATTTCTTTTCCCTTTTTTCTCAGTGCTGACGTAACAGTTACAACACCTCTGTAAAGGAACCTTAGATTAGGACATGTTTAGTGTTACATCGTCTAGAACACTATGTCAAATTGAGAAAACAAATTGATGATAATATTAGTTAAACTCTGGGTCTCTATTTTTTAAAGCTGGCTACAAATATAGTTGTTGTATTCAAGTTGAGGATTCAATTATTTATGTATGACTTGTCTTTTTGTTGCTTTAACTTGCTCAAGGGCACTTGCAACCGTTGTTTGGATTTTCTCCATTCAAACTTTATAAAGAACCGAGAGGATAACTTTACTTCAGATAAAATGCTTGGCAATATTACGGATGCAGAAACTTGCATTTGTCTTATAATTTGAAATTAAAATGGCTTAAAGATGGATAATCTGGTGCTTATTTATTTGTTAAAAAAATCAGATTTTGTTGCTTCATCTATGGTTCCAAGCCATATATTATAAAGCTTAATTTTCAATTCAACCCATTAATTGTTGTTATTGGAGAGGTTTGTGATTCGAGAAATTATTGACTGCTTATAGTCTCTTGGGTTCAATAATCAGTAGAAGTTCTAGAGCATGTAAACGCTCTTCTGCTCTTTTGCCTTCCAAATTCAGCTGCTTCCGGCTGCTATGCTCTTCAACTTCTCTAGAAACGTAAATGCAGACACGGCTCGAATCCTCATGGAGATAATCTCCATTGTATTATGATTATAAATTTCCTATATTGAATTCTTATTCCCGACTGCGATTCTCTTTGGATTTAGGACTAAAAAACTCCAAAATTCTCTATTCAAAGTTTTGTAGCAACTATATATGTTTTGACCCACCAGTTATTCCTCTGTCAAAATTTAGTGCATTAGATCCACAATAGTATAGGCTCTAATTGAGCTTTGTGGATATCGCAGAAGCTATGTTTCCAGCCATCAATTCCTCGGAAATTTGTTGCATGGACCTGGCTAATCTGTACTTTGATGTTTATGGATTTCAACCCATTATTTACATAGTTTCTCAGAGATGAGAGAGCAAAAAATGCTCATTCATTGTGCAATAGGACCTTTCATCGTAGGGTCGTGTTTACTAGAACCATAGACATACTAGCACTAGCTTCACCAGAAGAGACATATCTGAAGAGATGCACCGTATTGAAGGGGAGCAGCTGGTTCATTTATGCAATTCATTGGCTTTCTTGAGAAGGAATAGATTTTCATATTTTAATTTCACTTTCAGCATTGTCGCACCCTAAATTTCAATTGTGTGTGGAGAAACAAAAGCTAGACCAGCTTGAGTGAAGGAAAATCTATCATGTAGTTTTTTTTGAATGCACTCTCATGTACTTTTTCTTTATGTGGGATCATATGTGTCGTACTCAGAACAAGAAGATCATGGATTTTCCATGGCGAAGCTGGACAATTATCTAATTACCATAAGAAATTTGGGATCGCCACAATAGACTGATGGGGGAGATACCTTTACAAATAGATTAATGACTTGGTATTTATCACTTGAGTGAAGTGTGACTGTTAGTTTATTCATTTATTTATTCATTTTTTTTGTGCTTTCAATTTTGTTTTTGATTTATTTTTTTATTGATTTTTCCAAACGGTTATGATTTATTATTCCCTTTATAAATGATGAAATACGGGTTCCTGGGGGCATATTATGATTACTAATCCGCTATATATTTAGGGTTTTCAAACTCATAATGATGTAGTGGTAAGCCCCAAAATATAACCCGAACACGAGTCGTTGAAATACAAAATGCACGAAAACCGAGATAATGACTTTCCTATATCCTTTAATTTTATATAAATATCCGAAAATTAGTCATCAAATTCTACTTGAGAATTTAGAATAAAAACAATTCTCAACTCTTTGTATTTTCATTCACAAATAAGCTCCTTACAATATTAAATATCAATTGCACTTTCTTCCAAAATTAAGGCCTCAATCAAAATAAATTAATTAAATCCGATAATTTATAAAATTCGCGTGACGAATAATATATTTAGCATAAAATTTTTATATCATTGATATGATTTGATGATTTGTTTTATCCATCTGATACCGATAAAGAATTTTTCTAGATCTCAATAATCCAAAATATAATAACAAAAGTAACTTAACTACAAAAAACTAATTACGTCAGATTATTTATAGGGTGTGTCGTGCATCGCTCGACGAATGCTCAAGCACTAGTTTTATATAAATGCTGACATATGTGCTATGGGCTTTCAATTAATTTTGACTATCTTTAGAAATCTTTATCGTCAAGCATCCCAATAGACTGCACTGACGACAATAATTTATGTATTTCAAGGTTTCCAACAAAGCTTTAATTTTTTTTTCTAGATGTAAGCAATATTAATGCAGATGCTTAACAAAATCATCTTACTTGGATATGAAGCTTCATATCCTTAATTTGGATTTACTTGTAGTGCGAAATCTTCATTACATACTGATGATGGAAATGAAAGTAACACCAGAATGATTTGTTACTAGTCAAGTCTCGTTATCCTCAGCATGTTATGTGTATATATAGTTTTTCGCCCTAATTAGATGACAAGATAATAGTGTCTATTTTTTATTTTTAAACAAAGGAGGCTTTTGTTCAATTTGTAAGTTTTAACTCAATGTTGTGCAGCTTTATCAACATAAAATCTTAAAGGTTTTCTTTCTTAGTATAGAATATGAAAGAATCTTCGTTCCCTCTGTTTGCTGAACATACGAAGTCAAATCGCCATCAAGAATTTTTCTCAAATTAATTCCTAAAAAATAATTCAAGAAAGTAATGTTGCTTAAATCCTTCAAGTTACAAGATTTAATTAATTCTTCTGATGTAGTTCTGCTTTCTATTTTAAAATTTTAATTTTGGCCATAAAATGATTACACCAAAAATTCAACATATGCTCCTATGATCGATAATTAATGGTCATTGCTTGAATATTTGGCAAATACATATTTCTCATTATTTATTAATAATTTATCCAAAATAAAAATTATCATTAAAACATCAGAGAAGAATTTAGGGGAAATATAAGTGTTCATTAATTTGTTTTTTTATTTACTGCAAAGATTTCATTAGTGGAATAAATTAGTTGTTAGGATTGAGATTTATCTTGATTTGTTTAGATTAATTAGAATTAGTTTTTAAAATTTTTAGTATTACCTTTAGAGATGATTTAGAATTTGAAAAGTTATTTTCTCCTTTGATTGTTGTAAGAGTTGTCTATATATTAGACTTCTCACAAAATAAAAAGTAACCATCTTTCTGATAGAAGTTTCATGTTCTCAAAATTCTTTGCTCTTTTTCATCTCTTTCCCAACAAAGTGGTATCTAGAGGTTACGTTCAATTAGAAGGACCCGTGTGAGTGAATTAGTGAGGACCTTCTAACAAACCATTCCTTTTAGCCGATCTTCTTTTATCAATGGAAGGAGGGAACAGTTTCATGTCTGCTCCTCAGTTTTCAAAGAAGAAAATTATCATATCTGGGCTGTCAAATGGAAGCCTATCTAGAAGCAAGTGGATTATGGGAGTTGGTGAAAAATGATGAATTTCAACCACCACCTGAAGATCCAACAATTGCGAAAATTATTGAAGAATTCAGGGAGGCTAAAAGGAGGAGGAACAGGGCCAATATCTATATTCAGTCTGCTGTATCAGAAGTTGTGTTTACAAAAATCATGGCCTGCGAGGCTGCAAAACAGCCATGTGAAATATTGAAACAAGAATATCAAAGCAATGTCAAAACAAAGCGCATGCAAATCTTGAATATAAAAAGGGAATTCGAGATGCAGAGGACGTCGGAGACAGAGCCATTGAAAGACAATACGGATCACTTGATGAAGGTAGTTAATAAAATCATACTTTGGGAGAACATTTTCCAGATAGTCGGGTTGTTGAAAAAATTTTGGTAACTTTGCTAGAAAGATTTGAGTCTAAAATCTCTTCTCTTGAAGAAACTAGAAATTTTTCAGAATTATCTCTAGCGGAACTAATTTCAACTTTTGAAGCTCTAGAGCAAAGAAGTGTTTTCAGGAAGGAAAAAATAGATCATATCATTGAGGGAATTTATAAATTGGACCCCATTGCTGAAGGTAAAAGGTGGACTAGGAAGGCAATTGGAGACAGTGACAACAATGGAAAATATCCTCCTTGTAAACACTGTAAGAAACATTCTCATTTGTCATAATATTTTTTGTTTAGGCCTGATATTCAATGCAGGGTTTTCAAAGAAATGGGGCACATGGAAAAAGTGTACAAAAACATGCAACAAATTAATTTTCTAATGAAGAAGATGAAAATGAAGATAAAAATGAAAATGAAGACTTGGTTTAAAGATGCAGGAATTTGCAGTAAAAAAAAGGTGGAAATTTGTTGGTTAAATTATTTTTATTTAATTACTGCAAAGATTTAATTAGTGAAAAAAATTAGTTATTAGGATTGAGATTTATCTTGATATGTTTAGATCAGAACTAGTTTTGAAAATTTTTAGTATTATCTTTAGAGATAATTTAGGATTTGAAGAGTTATTTTCTCCTTTGATTGTTGTAAGAGTTGTCTATATATTAGACTACTCACAAAATAAAAAGAGACGCTTTTTCTAATAAAAATTTAACGTTCTCAAAATTCTTTGCTCTTTTTCATCTGTTTCCCAACAATAAGATCTATGCTATAGAATTACTAACGATGAAAAAAAAACTCATACTATAATGATGTGTATGTCTATATTAACTTAGAAAAATATGCACGCAATTATAGAGTTATGTAAAGACTAATGACTTAATTATGAAAAATATGTCTCAAGCACCATACTAGGTACAAATTTTGATTAGACTTCACATCTTGTCAAGATGAAACCAAAAGAAAAAGAAAATGATTAATAATTTTGTTTGAGAAGATCGTGAAGGAAAAAAAAAATATCAAACATTTGGTTTCAAATTTCTTTAAGAATATTGGATAAAGACATAATCAAGTATCCAAATATGAAGAAAACTGCAAATAACAACAATCCAAATCCTTTTGATTAATTCGTTTCCGAAGAGCACAAAAAGTGAAAAAAGATTGGATCCACACTTTTTCTTGGTTCTCCCAATTTCTTCTTTAGATGGGATCCAGTGCAGCTACTGGTTTCGTTTCCTCTATGATTCAGCATATCGAGACAAAATTTTTCCTTTCCTGTTTCGTTCAAACATAAAACAAAGTCAATAACACAATGAAAAAAGAATGTTTCTGAAATGCACCTCATGATAATATGTAAAGGGCACAATATGTTATACCTGCTGGAGAGCATGGCTTCCTTACTTGAACTTGAAGAGGTAGCCATAGCTTGTTGATCGTTATTAGGGCCTCTTTCTAAAAAGAGAATAGAGAACAAAGCTGTTTATTTAAAAAATTTTACAAAACTAATAACAGTTGAATAACAAATATATAAAGGCATAAATATATACCCAAAAGAGAATGGAAAATACTTGTTTAAGTTCGTTTGGGTTAGGAAAAGTGATATATAGACATGGCTAGAAATCAATAAATGAGTTGATCCCTTGACACAAAAAGCAATTATTAAGCTTATGTATTATTTGGGAATCATCTATTGTGATAAATTTTTTATGGATCTCTTTCATTCAGAATCAAATCCTGCAGGTTTGGTTAGGGCATTTGTACGTAATGAACCAGAAAAGTCAACATTAATTTTGAATTCTTTTTATATTCAATACGTGTACTATATTCAAAAATGGTTGTGAGACCCTGAATTCTAGTAATCTAGAACTACCTACTAAATGAGTGTAGGTGTGGAACTAATGTCCTTTAAATCTTTTATTTTCATTAAAGTTAGTAGAAGGGGGTGCAACATATGCACAGTATAGCCTACTCCCTAATGCAATGCAAGAACTCCTTTATAAACTAATACTATGGCAGGTACTGTCTTAGAAAAAAAAAATAAAGAAACTAAGGAGTGTTAATTTCAAAAAGATTTTCGGTGTCTAATGACTATAGCTGATTCTACCACCCCTAAAAGAAAAGCAGCGAAATTAACTTCAGCCACATTAGAAGATAACTTGATAAAGATGATATATTTGACACAAGCATCATGTTTATTTTTATTTTTCTTCGTGCTTTTTTCATTTATACCCGCTTGTAATGACAAACATGTGTCTGACCTAATTATGACAAAGGAACATTATTCTATACTACACCTAATTAATATAATGAATGTCAACAATAATCACTAGCACTAATGAATTCTATGTTAAGAAATTACCTGCAAGAGGTGGTGCGGGATCTGCTGAAGAATTTGCATCGCGGTTGACATTGGAAATACGTTTAGTAGTATCTTCGTTTTTAAAGGATCTATCTCTCTTCTTCTCAACATGTACTGTAGCTTGAGGTTTTGCAAGTTCTGGTTCAAATGCAATAGTTTGTTGGATTAATTAATTTCATTTATAACCACTTAAAATTGTATATAAGTGATTATGATGGTAATATTAGTGGGCTCAAATATACTTGTAAAATGAATCTCCACGGGATACTTTCAAGCACAAATGGATACCATATTTAGAAATTACCTTTAACAGATACTGCAAGATGAACCAAGGAATTAGAGTTGCCATCGACAGTAGAGTTAGGATTAGAAGCGTCTTTGTTCTTAAGGAGTCCGCCTTTCGTCTTCTTCACAACAGGATCTTGTGCTTTAGAGTTTTCAACTCCTAATTCATGGACAACAACATCATTATCATCTTACTTTCTGCATTTATTAATTTCATTTATAAAAACTTATTGAAGTGATGAATACGTGTATATATATATATATATATATATATATATATATATATATATATATATATAACATAACTATGAGACAGTAACAATATTTCATAACAACATTACAACATTATCATCTTACTTTCTGCATTTATTAATTTCATTTATAAAAACTTATTGAAGTGATGAATACGTGTATATATATATATATAACATAACTATGAGACAGTAACAATATTTCACAACAACATTACAACAATAATCGCAAGCACAAACAAACACTAAAGTTAGAAATTACCTACAACAGATGGTGCAGTATCTGTTGAGAAATTATGACAAATAAGTATATATATATATATATATATAGTACAACTATGAGACAGTAACAATAGGTTATACCATTATTCTTCATATATGAATCTCAAAAATAATCGAAAGCAAAAGAATAATTATATTTAGAAATTACCTACAACAGGTGGTGCAAAATCTACCGAGGAATTAATGTTTCCATCCACAATAGAAGTAGGGTTAGAAGTATCTTTATTTTGAAAGGACCTTCCTTTCTTTTCCTTCACTCCAGGAACTTGAGCTTGAGGGTATTCAACTCCTATCTCTAGGACAACAATGTCAATATCATTTTATTGGTTGCATTGATTAATTTCATTGATAAAAACTTATTGACATGACAAATACATATATAACACGACTATGAGACTGTAACAATAATTGATACCTACATTGTTCATATATGAATCTCAACAATAATCGCAAGCAAAAATTGATATTATACTTAAAAATTACCTCCAACAAATGGTGTAGGATCGGCTGAGAAACTAGTATGGCCATTGGCAATAGAAGTAGGATTAGAAGCGTATTTTTTTTTAAAGGGTCTTCCTCTCTTCTTCTTCACATCGGGAACTTGTACCTGAGGGTTTTCAAGCCCTAAGTCACGGAAAAGAACATCGTTATCATCTTGTTTGTTACATCAATTAATTTCATTTATTAAACTTATGGAAATGACAAAATACTTATATAATACGATTATGAGATGGTGACGAAAGTTTACACTAAAATTATTTGTGTATGAATGTCGACAATAATTGCAAGCTCAAACTATACTACAATTAGAAATTACCTTCAATAGGTGGTGCAGGATCTGCTGAGGAATTAATCTTACCGTTGAGAGTAGAAGTAAGATTAGAAGTGTCTTTATTTTCAAAGGTTCCACCTTCTTCCTCCGTCACAACAGGAACTTGTGCTCGAGCGTTTTCAAGTCCTAATTCAAGAAGAACAATGTTATTATCATCATGTTTATTGCATTATTTGATTTCATTTACAACAAACCTATTGAAATGACAAATACTTAAATAGCACACGATTATGAGACGGCAAGGACAGTTCATACCAACATTATAATTTGTGCATGAATTTCAACCAAAAATTGAAAGCATAAATGGATGTCGTAATTGAAATTTACCTAAAATTGGTGGTGCAAGATATGCTAAAAAATAAGTACTAAAGTCGATAACAAAAGTAGGAGTAGTAGCGTCGTTCTTCCTACTAAATGGCCTACCTCTTTCCTTCTTCAAAGCTGGTACTTCAGCTTGAGGGACTTGAAGCCCTGTGACTAAAAAGACAACAACAACATTATCATCTTATAATTTGTTGCGTTAATTAATTTCATTTATAACAACTAATTAAAATGACGAAATGCGATTTGATACCAAAAACTATTCATATACGATCATTCTCAACTAATACCCACAATATCATAAATCATTATTAATATAGTTAGACGCACATTACCTGAAACAGCTGGTTGTGGTGGATTATTGGTAGCATCTCTATTTTTAGGTGGTCTACCTCTATTCCTCTTGACGACCAGAACTGCTTCAACAGCTGGTTGTGGCGGATTATTGGTAGCATCTCTACTTTTAGGTGGTCTACCTCTATTCCTCTTCACGACTGGAACTTCTTCAACAGCTGGTTGTGGTGGATTATTGGTAGCATCTCTATTTTTAGGTGGTCTACCTCTATTTCTCTTGACGACCGGAACTTCTTCAACAGCTGGTTGTGGTGGATTATTGGTAGCATCTCTATTTTTAGGTGGTCTGTCTCTCTTCCTCTTCACGATGGGAACTTCTTGAACAGGAGGATGCTCTTTTGTCTTCTCAATCCCATTGTCGCCGAAGATTTGCACGTCGAGCCTTGAATCTCCGGCACTCTTGAACAGAACCAGATCGTACTGCACCAAACTGTGATCGTCATAGAACTGCTTCCACCCTTCTGCGAGAAATATCCCGTGGCCAGATTGAGATACTTGAACCGACCAGGAACCGCCAAAAGGTCCGTTCAAGATGACGACGTCGCTGTCGGATGGCAATCCCGCGCTCTTGCTCTTCCAAAAGGTTGGCGGGAGTTTCTTTGGTAACAAATCCAAAAAAAAACCAAAAAAAAAAAAAAAAAAATAGATTGATTAAAAGAGAAACAAAGTTGGACTGTACAACATTAGAATGACAGGAATCCTGATAAGAGCTAGTATAATATCCCTTTTTCCAACTCTTTGTCAACGAAAACATAACTGGGAGGTTTTATGGACCCATTCTAATATGCCCATATCACCAACGAACTGAACTCATTTCATCCACTTATGATAGTACATACATATCCCAAGATATGGCTACATAATTTGGTATCAAAGCTTGGCTTCTACTTTGGGAGATCATGGTTTTAGACTCCATAAAACCTGTGTTAAACAAATTCTGGAACGAATTTGTCTAATATTGTGAAACTTAGTCATATATTATTGTAATGTGTATAGTAGTTTCATAAAGTTTGACTCTCTTTATATAATTGGGCTCTATCATTCCCTACTCATTTTCTGCAGTTTGCTTATTTGTCACTTCATTAATTACTAGCATTTCATTCACAATCCTACGAGATTTCAGCTAAATAAATGATAAGAAATGCCTACTAAAGAACTTCTTCTCCTTCGAAAGCAACAATTTGAAATTAAAAAATTTTCCCATCGAAATCGAAGCGAGGTTTGTCATCAATCAATTCATCATATAATCCGGAATACGTAATCTATTTCGTGAATTTCTGTTTATCAACCACTCGAATTTGCTTTTCTATTTTATGTGTTCATTTTTGGCAGTCGATAAAGAATTATCTAGAAAATAAAACAATCCGATGCAGGTGGAAACGAAAAAAGAAGAAAAAGAACGCCTAGTGCTTATTTCTTCATGTAATTAGCAAGCAAAATCAACGATATACTCAAGACGCAACAACAAATTAAAAAAATTACTAGTGTCTATATGTTCGTCTAATTAACATGCAAAATCAAGTTGAATTTAGAATTCGTAATGCCAAAATTACCAATTCAAAAAAAAAAAAAATACATATACGGAAGTTTCAGATATAATTGTAAAACAAAAGAGGACAGAGAGCAAGCTTTAAGAGAAATATGACAGTATGAAAAGTAGCCAAGCATAAATTATTTTAATCAAAGATAAGAGACTGAAGTGAAAGTTTGATTAATTAATTGTACCACTTTGTCGACGTTGAAATCACCCCTGATTATTTTCATAAAACCCGGGCGCTGAAGGTCTTCATTAATTCCGCTTGAAACCTTGATCAACTTTGGTGAATCGTTCATCTCTTCCTAGTTTAATTTATGTGAATTATTCTTAGAAAGAATTATATGGTTCTTCTGGAGCTTGGCAAAATGGAAATGGAGAGAAAGGATCGAGTTCGTATCTAGAGCTTGGCAAAATAATACTAATTTGTTGACTGGTCAATTACCATCATTATTCTGTTTTTCATTTTAACTCATAATTAACGTGTAGTCACTGATAAAAACAAAAAAATTCTTACTTCATATTGCCATACGACAAAGGAGATGTTGTAACGTATTCAGTGTTTGTTCATTTTATTTCCTTTTAAGGGAATTCAAACTTAAACCGTTTTCAAACATTTACTATAAAACTTGAATCTTAAAAAATAAAATAAAACAAAGGGCTGGGCATTTTTTTTCCATTTACCTTCGGTTAAAAAAGTCACGTGTCTACCACTATATCTACCGTACGAAGACTGAAACTCAGCAAAATTCATCCCCCATCAGCAATATAGAGTAATAAGAATGAGGCCGAAGCCTGAAGATGGTGGGATGGTAGTAGATTTGTGATAGATCCGTTAATCGAATCCTGTTTGAGATTGCGGTGCGATGATTTGTTTGTGTATTTAATTGAACTTTGAAAAACAAAAAAAAAAAAAAAATAACATCACTAGCGGCAACATTAACAAATCATCAATCTGTATAGAATATAAATCAAACAAACATCATAATTTTCCCTGAGACACCCCTTGAAGGGAAAATATATATTTAGCCAGACGCGGTTTTGGACTGTGTCATTACACACTTTACTAGATATAGTCCGTGAAATCACGGGCTTCCCAACTTTTTTTTGTGTGTCCGACCTATAACAAATATATTATAATTAGAATAAAGTGTATAAATGAACAAAATTATCAACTTTACTTAATACAAGTATGAATGTTCATCAGTTAATGATCAATATTTGATATTACCATTATAATGGCGAATTGAGAATTTATTGTCCATTAATCTGTTTGCATTCACATAACATATTGTTGTATGAAATTGTGGAAGATAGTTAAAGTTGAAAATACACAGTAATCATTACTAATATCCCAGACGATGTAGAGCTCCTCTTAGCACGGCCCTATAAGAATCCACCAAAAAAGTTTCATCGTTCCACATTTCCAGTATGCTCTTTGGTTGTGATGTTCCAAAAAAAAAAATAATAATAATAAAGAAGGAGAAAATCTATAACTTTGCAAGATCTGACATTGAGCAACGAATAAATGAGCTTTTGATTAAAAGAATAACTACCAGCAGCAGACCTTGGGAGTCCAGCCAGTGTGATGATAAATCCCCAGCTCGACCATCAACACTTTAGAATTTAAACTTGAAGGTAAAAATAGATATAAACCCCCAGTACACTAAAACAACTTCAACCCACTTTAAATCAAGTTCAACTTTACCAAATTTGATTTCGGATCGAAGTAAAGCCGAACAACACTGAAAGGAAAAAAAGACCAAAAATACATTCACTTCAAGAAACATACACGAAGACCTTACACTCTTTCAGTTATAATGCAAGGAGGTTACGATCACGAAGTTTCAATAAAGCAGCTCTACCTACAAAACACATTGGTGATGGCACCTGTGGCTTTATTGGCTTAAAAATGCAAAAGCCATGACGAATTGTGATTTCTAATATTACCTTGCCTCCCAAAAACTTTTCCATATCTCTCTAGACATAGCTTGCCCAGTGATAAATTATTCTACATTTGCGAAACAACACAAAAGGTAAAAACAAATCAATAAAACTCTATACATATAGTCTATAAGGAATAGCTCAGAAAAATCTACAATGAGAAGATGAAAATGATTTCTCAGTCCAGTAATTAATATGAAAACCAAAAACCACCAACAACTCTGCTTTAAAGCAAATTTGATCATCCCAACAAAGACGGTTTAAAATATATTTCAAGCCATATGCTTTGGATTTATATAAGAAATTACAAAAACCCCAAATAAATTAGCCGAAGAAAGAGCGTGTATCTGGACTTTTGGAAAAATGAAATCCTAATGAATCCATATGAAGAAATTCGCATACATAAACTGCATAACAAAGACTGCGCAAAACTTCTAGATCATTTAAGAATATTGAGTACATCTGAAACCAACATGATAGCACAATTTGTAGAGTAGAAAATTAAAATGTCTAATTAGCTTGAGATACTTAATCGAGATAATAGAAAATACTATTTGAATCATTGAGATACCAAATAATAGAATCCGACTCCCAATACACCCTGTTAATCGTACACCCTGCAGAGATAGCATGTTTGAACAAAAGAGAAAAGTTAAGAGTCCAATTGGCACACATATTTGAAAACAAAAATAGAATGATAAAAAGTTTTTAATTTGGAACAACTTACACCACGATGACTACATCATCTCCAAAGGTAGTTGTTCGACGAAAAGTTGTGCTATCCCAGCTACATAAGGTGAAGGCTAAAGCAACAGAGGAAAATCAACTATTAGAATGAGAACCAAGCATAATATGTCTTTCACCATTGAACTGCCTACGAAGTCATTCAACGCAGCTATAGAAATAGTTCACGTTGGTAATTCCCTATAGAATCTGAAACTACCGGTCTTTTTGTTTACAAAGATGAAAAAAAATGTGGGGAGGAAAGAAGAAGATGACCTGTTCTGCGACTTCAGTTGGCTTTCATCAATAGAAAGAGGGGTTTGAAAGACGAAAATGAGGGGTTTGTAACACCATTGCAGTTGCCGCATATCCTCGGAGGTGGCTCCTAAAGCAAACAGTTCCGCCTGGTCACCATCGTCTGTGTCTCGGCATTCCTCCTCTGACGCGAAAGGAGGGGGCAATCAGGAAGGCGACTAATGCCCAGGTCCACCATTAATGCTTTAGAACTTGAACTGGAAGCAGAAAAGGGATATTAACCGTCATTACGCTCAATTTTAATCCACTTCAAATCAAATAACTTAATTATATTCAATTGTCGATTGAAGTACAAATCCAAATAACACTGGGAAAGTAAAAGACAGTCACATCCAGAACATACACAAACTGCTCCACTCTTTCCAATTAATATGAGAGACGAACATTGCATATGAGGGGTTTTTCACTGGCAGCAGCAAATACAAAAAACACAGAGGCGATGGCACCAGTGGCTTTATTGGCTTGAAAAAATGATTACTAACCTATCATAATTGGACTGCTAGTTATATAAGTGGCCTAAAAGGTGATGATGACGGCAACATGCTTCAAGTTTTCTCCCTGCTAGTTATATAATTCGCCTGAAAAGATGACGGCCGAGTGAATCATGAATGCAACATTAACAACCAAGATACTTTGGAAAGTCAAGAGGTCAGAACATTGGATGATGAAAACCGTGGCTGGTTAAAACATACTTTAAACATTCAAATGTTACTCAATAGAAAAGACCAAAAAATAAAAGTTGACCGAAGAATTTAGTTGCAGGCCTTCATCATGATTCATGTGGGTATGCTTGAGAGACATGGCCAAAGAAACTTCTTCCCCTGAACATCTTCAACCTCACTTTTGCTCTCATAGTTCTGCAAGTAGCATTTGGGGTTGAAACTCATATCAAGCATGTCTTCTTGCTACACAACATCACGTCATGGTCCGCCTTGACATTAAGCATCTGAATTTCAAACAAAAGAAAAGCATTTTCTTAGTGCTTTATGGATAAGAACACACATATCAAAGTGTTACAATACCTTATTTTACAAAGACATAAACAAACATCAATGTCATAATTCAGCATTATAGCTTCCACCATATCATATTGGAATTGAAAATTATACCACTGGTGAACCAAGCACAAGTCGGTACACTGCATTCTTAAATTCATGATTGGAACAAGGAGAATGAACACGGAGCTGAAGGAAATAGGAAAAATCAGGGCTTAAGATCAAGTCTCATCTTGTCCTAGAGAATTAGATACTCACCTTAAATATATACATTAACATTCCAGAATGATGAATTACTTTATCTCTCTCACAGCTATGCTCGCACTCTGAACCCTACTGATTTAAAGTTGAGAAAAAACAAAAAGTTAAAAGAAATAAATAAAATCTTCA